TATATAATCTCACATACACACACACACACACATATGCGTGTAAAACCTACTGAGTCAATTCAGTGTTGCCCGTATGTATGTGTGTTTAGGGGATGACCATATGGGATTATGTAATCTATCAGGAGACTTGATCCTGGAGAAAACTGGTTCTTTCTCCTTCAGAAGCTATTGACTGCCTTGTAGTTCTCTGTCTAGGGATGGGGCCCTTATGAAATTTCCCTCATCCACACTGGCATGTCAGCTGGCATTGTGTTTGTGCAGGTCTGGTTTAGGAAACCATGTTGTTGAGATTTCAGGGGTGCAGCTTTCCTGCCATGTCCAGAAGACACTGTCTAGCAGCAGGGGTTGTGCTCCTCTGGCTCTTACAATCCTTTTCCCCTCTTGTCTGCAGTCTTCCCTGAGGCATAGATGTAGGGGTTACATTATAGATGTACCAGTTGTGGCTGAGCACCCACAGCCGCTTATCCTAAGCATTTTTGACTAGTTGGAGATTTCTGTAATAGCCTCTATCTGCTGCAAAAAGGAGCTTCTCTGATGAAGGGTAAGAGCTGCACTTACCGGAGGGTATATGGATAAGTGTTTAGAAAACAGAAATTATGTTGCTTTAGGAAAATGGCAGTGATGGATTCTCCTCTACGGTCTATGACTTCTCCATCCAGGGGAAGTTGGTTATGTTTAAAGTACCTAGCATGGGTTCCCTGCTATTGAATGGGCCTTAAATTCAATTATACAGTCATTGATTACCCCCAAGATGTAAGTGCCACTATGGCACCACTGAGGATATCTTGCTGTGCCAGTCATTGTTGTAGTTCACAAGCTTACAGCTGGGTAGGACTACTGAATATTTTTCTCCTTCACAACTTGCATAGCACCTTCTAATACGATGAGAGCTAGTCCTCAGGGAGGAAGGTTCCAGCTCAGTTCCAGCTAGAGTCCTCCTAGTTGTGTGTCTGAAGTGTGTGCCATCATCAGCAGTAGAGTCTTACTTCAAGTTCTAGAAGGTAGCCAAGGGCAAAAGTATTAGCCTGTATCTAGGTGAGACTCTCTTAAACACCTCCTGACCAGTAACTTGAAGGGAGGTTTTCCTTGCCTGGCACTGGTGTTTTGTTGGCTAATCTATGACTCCTAGGGGCAGGAGGCATGATCACCTCATGTGGTTTAACACATATGTATGTGTATTTTTACCTAAACTTATAGAATAATGTTTCCCTCTGACGTTTTTCAAACTTCCTTCCTCCCTTACCCTCTCCTTCCAAGCATCCCTCCCTGCCCTCCCCAGGTAGGTTCCACCCCGCTGCTTATCCCCCTCTCTTTAGTTCCTTCTCCCCAAACCACCCCCATAGTCCCTCTCTACTTTCCTGGCTTCTGTGGCTACCTTAGGTCAAATACTCAAATCTAAGGATTCAGAACTAGTATCCACAAATATGACAGAACATACAGTGTTTGTCTTTCTGAGTTCCATCACTCAGTATAATATTATCCAGTTCCATCCATACAGTGGAACGATTTTTAAATTGAGCACCCCCCAAAGATGAAAGCTTTATCAACAAGATAAAATTCACAGTTTCTTCTAGACTATTGAAGTACACTTGTAAAGGTACTATGGTGGTTGACAGCTCACCCTGTTCTGATCTGCATAAATGGCAATCGCCCACGTCTTCCATCTCCATAAGCAGAGAGCCCACACGTGAGCAAGCAGGGCAGTTTCAACAAGAACACATCATTACCACTTATGAGTCATGAGCTACTGGTGGTGACAGCACCGTGTTTTTGTTTTATTTGTCCTGATAAAAGGAGACAGAGAAAGAGCGAGACAGAGGGACAGAGGCGAAATATACGATGAAATAATTTACGAGAGAAAATTTAGCTCAGAAAAACAAAAGCAAAGCAGTAGAACAAGGCTTAAATCAAACAAGAGAATCTTAAACAACCACTTACAGAAATGAGTCATTCTGGCCCTACAAAAAAAGGGGAAATTAGAATTTATTGACTAATAACTATGGGTCATATACAGTCCGAGTCCTGGGGCCACGGATACAGAAAAGAAAAGAGCCTTGCAATGAACATCACAAACCAATTCATAATTTAGAAAATAAAACGTGTTTGAAACTTTCAAATATTTAGCAGTGTGATGGTGCTGAGGGATCTAATCTTAACCTCACTGTGCTCTGTTATCCATGTTTTTGTCTGTTTTGTCTCTTTAACTTGCTATTTCATGCTTTCACCACAGAGCTTAATGCTTTAATCCAAAAGGCCTCCTTCCCCTACCTGAGATAAAGATTATCTGCGATGCTGTGCTGCATGGTGGGGTGGACTGCTGCTTGCCATGACTGAATTGAATTTATGGTATTCAATATCATAAATAAACATGCTGTTGCTTAAAATGTTAAGGAAATATGCACATAAAACAAGTATGAAAGCATTCTTACTTCTGGTCTTTAAAATAGCAAGCTATTGGGGCTGGAGAGATGGCCCAGCGGTTAAGAACACTGGTTGTTCTTGCAGAAGACCCAGGTTTGAATCCCAGCACCCACATGGCAGCTAACAACTGTCTATAACTCCAGTCCCAGGGGATCCGACAGCCTCTTCTGACCCCCAGGGGCATTACACGACACGGGTGCACTTACCTACATGCAGGCAATACACGCATACACACACACAAAAAAAATATATATATATATATATATATTTTTTTTTAAGTTTAAAAAAATCTAAAAAAAATGGCAAGCTATGATGTGTAATGATTATGGACACTGTTTTATTTTTGCTGTTATTTCAGGAGAGCTATGATATAAATGCAGAAATTAATAAACTGGAAAACATACCTCAAAATTAACTTATACAAGCATTTAAGCATTTTGGCTTACATATTTATATATGCTTTTCTGTATTTTTGTAAATGGCACCATTAAAATAACAAATAAGCACTTCTCAAATATGCTTCCAAGATGGCAGAAATTCCTAGGACATTGTTACATCCCTCTTACACTGAGTGAAGATCACATCTCGACCTTTGCATCAGAAAGCAATGGCCTCCAGCTTAAATAACGCTGGTTACTGTGTCTCCTCACTCACAGCATAGCAGGCTTCTCATTGTGTGCCTCAGTGGCCACACCCTTCACTACATAATTAATAGAGACTTGACAGCCATTCGTAGTACCAATTAAATTTTACAAAATATCCAGTCCAAGCTAAACTAAAGTAGTGCTGTGGCCAAATCGCTTATAATCCGTCTTGAACAGCAGGGTTAAACATGAGGAATTCTGTTCTCTTATCCTAATGCAGACCAAAGGTTCCTTGCTCGACAGAGCACATGAATGGCGGATTGTGTCCCTGAAAGATGAGGCAGGTGGCTGGCCTCCTCTGTTCTATCAGATACTCTGGCTGCCCTTCTCCTCTCGGGTCCTCTAGGCCTCTCTTGAAATGATTCTGACCCTAGAAAGGAAAAGTGAGACCCTCACAGACTGGGTTTTCACCTCATCTTAGACCACGTTTCTTGCCACTTGCGTTGAGAAGCAAAATATTAAAATTAGGTTGATTTATAAGACAGGGTTTCTAGAAATTGTCTCAGATTAGGTACAGACATGGGAAAGTCACATTATTAAATACCTTCCTTACAAATATAAATATGGAAGGGCTGGAGAGATTGCTCAGTGGTTAAGAACACTGCTGATCTTGCAGAGGACCCACATTGTGGCTAACAACCATCCGTAACTCCAGTTCCAAGGAATCCAATGCCCTCTTCTGACCTCCTTGGACACTGCACAACAAAGGTGCACTTACACACATACAGGCAATACATTCATACACATAAAATAAAAATAATAAATAAAGAAAGTGATCTGTGACGATAAAAACATTTAAAATCTTGTCTCCAAATATAAATTTTTATTTGCTTATTAATTATGTGTATTACTTGGTGTCAATCAATAGCAGAAGAGAGTTTTAAGACCAGAGACATCTACTTGGATTCAAGGCAGAGGCTGACTACCATAGAAGGTAGTTTGACACAGTGTGTTACTTAGCCTTCATTAGACAGTACATATACTGTTTATTTTGAAGCATCTGTGCATGATATTTTTTAATTTTCTGAAAATTAATTTACCAAGCCAGATATGATTTTTAAAGTAGCATGCTTACTTCCTTTTTGTTTATACTTTCACAAAAATCATAAAAGGTCATATCCAAAACCCAAGTAATAGCTGTATACTGATAATCCCAAAGAGACTGGGGAACAGGTATTGAAAGGACAGTGTACACATCGGACTGAGTTTCAGGGACACACACCATATTTCCATTCAGCAGGTAAGACTCTGGTGCTGGAAGCTGGAGAAATGGCTCAGTGGTGCAAAGCACTGGCTGCTCTTGCAATGAGCCCGGGTTCAGTTCCCAGAAACACACGGTGGCTAACAATCATCCGTAACTCCAGTTCCAGGGACTCAGTATCTTATTCTGGCCTCCATGGACATGGCACATAGGGCACACTTACATAGATTTAGGTAGTCTTTAGCGTTGCCTTTTCTTGGATCAAAAGTTAAAAGTATAAAACAAAGAGCCACTCATAAAAGCTAATTCAGAAAACAATTATTAATATAATAATAAAACTCAAATGGCGCAATGGAACAAAATCTTATTAAGATCCACATAAGACAACGTTAGAAATGCAAGATACAGACATACCAACCTCACAATGAAAATCAACACTTTAGATCAATGTCTGATTACCTAATAATGTTCAACCAGACACAAATTCATGTT